CCTTCCTCCCTCCCTCCCTTCCTTCCTTCTTTCCCTCCCTCCCTCCCTCCCTCCCTCCCTCCCTTCCGGTACTATTAGAGCAGGAACGCAGGGCCTTGCCTTCTGCTCGCAGCTGTCTCCACCCTTTTGCTGTAGTTGGTCGCAGCTGGGGTCTTCCGCTGTTGCCAGCGCCAGCCTTGCCCTCGTCTATGGATCGAGCTGGGGTCTTGTAAAGTTTCCTGCCCCGACTGTCCTTGAACCCATCCTCCTTGTGACTGCCGTCTCCGGAGTGGCGAGGGTTCTTACAGACCTGAGCCTGCTCATGCCTCACTTGGACTCTTCCTTTTTTTCTTCAGCCATCTATCTTGGCAATTTCTAGAACATGCCCTTTGGGATGTTTTGTTTTGCCTAGAAACCTCCAGGTAGAGGTTTATCGCCACTGCTGGTTTGCTTTGCTTTCCAGAGACCTGTGGCTCTGGGTTTTAGGGAGAAGGGACCTATTCATTTGCAAGGAACAAGACATGAGCAAGTCTGTCCTAGATGCCCGCATCTCAGGGGCCTGGCCCCTGTGGGTGGTGCCCACTACCCTGGCAGATGATCTCCTCACAGGCGTGGCGCGTTTGTTCATTCTGGAATCTGGGAGCTCTGCAGTTCAGAGTTCCGAGACACCTGTCGGGAGAAACCAGTCCTGAAGGCGGAAACTTTCCTGCTGTCTGGCGACCCTACGGGAACTAATGCTTTCCTGTTCATTTCCAGGCTGGCACAGCCAAAGGTGGGGCTCTGGGGAATATGTTGCTGTGGACCCCACCCCTTGGCAAGGTAGTGGCAGTACTGCCACTCCTTCCACTTTTTATTGTTTTTTATTATCTTTATGTAGTTGTGCAAAGGAATTTCAATCCAATACATCAGTTTATGAGTACCATGCATCTTGATCAATGTCATTCCTTTTTTTTTTGTGGGTACTAGTTCTGAGGCTTGAACTCAGAGCCTGAGCTCTGTTCCTCAGCTTTTTGCTCAAGGCACACACTCTATTGCTTGAGCCATAGCTCTCCTTCTGGCTTTCTGATGGCTAATGGGAGATAAAAGTCTCACACATTTTCTTGCCTAGGCTGGCATCAAACCACAGTCCTCAGATCTCAGCCTCCTGAGTTGCTACAGGTGTGAGCCACCAGTGCCCATTACCTACCCCCTTCCTCTTTTTATTTTTTTGTTATGTTTTTAGATGCATCTGTAATTTTATTACAAAACCATTCTTTTGGCATTAGTTGGTTACAGTGATAGCAAGATCCTGTGAGTGTGGCTTAGCAGCTCTAATGTAACAGTTATATTCCCTGCTGACTGAACCAAAATGTAAGTCACTTCAAACCCATTACCTACATTACCTGTACCTGTCACTGATACAAATCTTTACTTGTATACCTTTTAGGAAAGTGTTGATTCTTTACTATCTAATCTACATTCAGATTAAATGTTGATAAGACTACAAAAGTACTAGTTCCCTTATGAGACCCCTTCCTCTTTTTAAACCAGATTTGTAGCCTGGTGGCAACCAGATCTACTTCTTACCTGCTTTTTCAAGAGGATGCTACCTTGCCATCTTGGGATCTCTGTCTTGAAGAAGGCCCCTTCTCCCTCAATTTCCAATTTCCCATGGGAGGTGTGTGACAAGTTGTGCTGTTGCTCACTGCTTTTTGCTTCTTTGTGTCCTGTCGGGGAATGATAGCGTTGCTAATTTACAGTCTGAAATGTTTACACTGCTTCCTCTAAGGACAAGTCTGTTTTAGTAAGCTGTGAAGCTATTTTACTTGGGTCACTGGATTGTGGCCAATACCCCCAAAGTGAAGGAGCTCCATGTATCAAGTATAAACCTCTTTGGAAATTTTCCAAAGTCTTAGTATGTCTTTGTGACACAGAAAACTGGGACGGGCTGGGTAACTGGAATGTTCCTAGTGTGTGACTGTTACTGTGCTCTAGAAATAAATCACTTTTCCACACCTGGATGGACTCTACTGACAAACTGTTCCTCCCAGCGGCCTTCCCTTAGATACCGGCTCTCACGTTCAGTGCTCTGGGAGAAGACTGAGGAAACAGCTGTTCCACAGCTGGCAGCCAGAATTATTCCATCATCTTGGGTGGGTGTGAGGGCTTTTCCCGAAGTTACCGGGACTACAGCAAGCACATACCTTTCCTGGCCAAGGATGCCTGTTTGCCAGCCTATTTCATCCTCATGGCCAATGATGGAGGACTTCATAAACACATCTGTCCTTGCCAAAACCTGCAGGAGAGTTCCTGCCTGCTCCCAGAAACCCAGGCTCCTGTTTGCCCTCCTGTTTGCCTTCCCAGAGGCTCTCACTGGAACAAGAGGCCAAACTGCTGAACGTCAGAGGCCAAGGGGAAGAGTCAAGAGGAGCCACTGATCTTGGCATTGTTCGAAATAGAATGCAGTTCAGCTTTGGTTTCAGGTAGAACACAGTTGGAGAGCAATGAGCTGGCTTCGAGCCGGTGTGGGTACAGTTTGGACAGGCCACACAGCTCTGCCCGAGGGCCTGTCACTACATGAATGATGAGGATGAACAGACAGCGCCTCCCCAGCCACCTCTGTCCACTTCTGACACAAGAAGCTCAAGGGTGGAAGTTGTGGGGCTTGATACCACACACACAGGATCATCCACTTCTGAATGAGACAGGGCCTAGAACCGACAGCAGGCTTGCTGGTTGTATTAGGCCAGGTTCTGGCCATAACAGTGGTTCGCCAAACGAAATGGCAGGAGGTCAGCGATGGAGGTGGCTGTGGGATTGATTGGAATTGGGGCTGGAAACCCCATTAAGCATGTCTTGTCTGTTTCCTCCTGTGCAATATCTCCCTCTGAGCATTCTCCTAAACAATGGGGGCTTTCTCCTGAGGCAAACATAAGCACTTATCCCTTCAGTGGAAGGACTCACTAGACAGGCTGAGAACAGTCCCAGGGAAGGGTTCTGATTGGCCCTGCTGGGGTGATGTGCCCATCCCTGAACCAGTCACTGTGAGGTAAGGAAATAAATACTCCAGTTGCTCACACCTGGGTGTCACGGGCACGTCTGGCCGGAATGCGGTTGCACATGGGGACAGTGAGCGGTGCAAACCCACAAGGTAGTGGAGATGGAAGGAGAGGAGATGAAAGAGGGACCCAAACATGTGTTCACCCCTCAGTTCAGCCCCTTCTCCTCCTCCATCCTGAACTTTGGTCCTGTTTGAGGAAGGAGTGCTGTGTGAGGAAAAACCTGGCTTCTGCTCAGGCCCTGGTGCATGGGCTTGTGGGAGAGGAAGGCGGGAGGGCCTGCTGCTGTCCTAGGGCTGGGCTAGCCCCCAAAACTGCTGCTGAAGAGGAAGAGGCTTTTCTGAGTCAGAAGCTGACTTTCTTCCTTTAAGTCACTTCTGAACAGATGCCCTCAGAGCTCAGGAATCATGGCAGAGCCGGCTGGCAGAGATGGCTCAGCTGGAAAGGAAGGACTGGGGGCCTGACTCAACTTGGTAATTTGCCCTGAGTTCTCAGGGATAGATACTCCTCTTTCCTCATGGAAGAAAGACAGACCTATCCCAATTCTCCCAAGCTGGAAAGGTGCTGATAAATTAACAAATAGGCTCATGGGCACACAGTATACAGAAGCCAGGTGAGTGGTATACTTATCAACTGACAGAAAGACACTGATGAAGTCTGACTGATAGACATCTAACACGCTGACACTGACTACCATTGACAGACTCACTGAACTGATGATGACTGACAGGGACCAACAGGCTGACTGACACCGAGTCTGATTCTACAGCTCCCTGATATGGATTGACTATGACTGACTTGGACTGACCCTGCCTGTCAAGGTCAACACTGTGACTGTTGGGACTGATCACTCACATGGGATCACGAGCCAGGAGATTTATGACTTCATCTGCAGTCAAACCAGTGCTCATTTTTGCTGATTGATTTGGAGATGGAGTCTTAAAGACTCTTCTGCCTGGCTAAGATCCCTAGATTTCAGCCTCCTGAGAAGCTAAGATTATAGGCATACACCACCAACTCCTGGCTACAACTTAGACATCTTGAGTTGCTGTCTGATAACCCAAATGTAAAGAGCCTTTCAGAAGAATTTCTATCAATCTATGCATGGGCATTTAGGAACTCCTCCTGGGTCTGGCTCTGGTCCAGGTCGCCTTGGGGCTGTATGCTTTAGGTGAGCAGTGTACAGGGTTCATTATCAGGAGAGCCTGTGCTGGCCCTGGTTCCTGAGGGTGCTGGAGAATCCCAGGAGACCTGTCGAGTACAATGACTGCCAGGGAAGATGCATTGCCCAGTGGTACCGTAGGCCATAAAGGTCACTAGGCTGTGACCTTTGCGATTATGATACGGCGAGAGCTAGGAGGCATGCTGTCGGTCCTGGGACTTCAGGGGATCTTTGAGGATAGGAGGAGGAAGGTGGCATTTCCCTCTTTGTGTGCCTACATTGATACAACTCCAGGGAATTTTTGTGGGGTCAAAGTAGCTTCACAGTCTGTTTGGTACAAGTGCACTGATTTATGGTTCTGCTGACCTTTGAGGCCTTGGCCAGGTCCTGCCTTGTGTCCCTGGGGAGGTTTGCCCAGTGTGATTTAGGAGCTGTAGTGTCAACAGGCTTTCCTATTCTTCTCCTACCCCGAGCCCTGACCCAGTGGCCCCTGCTGTTGGGTTCGCACAGGGCAGGGCTGGGCCTCATACTTTATACAAGTGGCAGTTACCTTTGGATGCCCTGGGCCACGTCCCTTCTACTCTTTGGCCTGTGTCTCTTCTAAGGATCATACGAGACGTTCCCCAGAGCTGTTTGTGCCACTCTGCTCTGCTGTGCTTTCTGCTGCCCAGGGGTAGAGGAAAACCAGAATGGATTGCTATTACTTATTCTGGTTGTCATTTACCCGGATGGATTAGCTTTGTTACAGCGTCCTTGTCAGAGCCTGGCCCACAGTGCTGCGGACTGCTGGACTGGCTGTGAAGTAGAAGGAATCATGGGTTCCAGCAGACTGAGCTCCAAGTACTCTCCTTCTTGGGCCTGTGATTTTCCTGAGCAAGTGGGTAGCAGCCAGCTCAGGGGTGGCGTGTGGCATGGTCTTACTGAGTGGGGTGCTGGGGCCTGGGTGTGGCTGTTTTGGGGCCCCTTCTGGGGGTTGTGTCCCCCAACAGTGTTGTTACCCCGTCAAGGGTTGCAAAAGCAGCGAGCGAGGCAGCTATGGGACACGTGTGTCATCACTGATCCACAGAGGAAACACCTGGTTGCAGCTGGCCCAGCTGGTGTTGTTGGGTCATGAGACTGTCGGGCATTTGTTGGATCCAGGACTGGCCCTGAAGGAAAATCAAGGGAGACAGAGAAGCCAAAACCACTGAAGACCTTCAAGCTGGGCGCACAGGGATCCTCGCTGGCCAGCCGGGCCCCCGTGCTCAGGAATGTCTAGTGTTTGGAGGAATGGGGGTGGGGCAGACACGTCAAACCTGTCCTGTGTATAGCGCCAGACAGGCTAGCATTGAGTTTTATTTTTTGCATTTTGCACTTGGGGACAGTTCCAGATACCCAGGTGCCCCGTGGCGGAGAGATGATTATAACTACGCGATCTCGCATCCAGCCCTGACCATCCATGATTTCCCAAACCACACCATACATTTCTGCAGCATCATCACTAATCTGCTTCACAATAGAAGTCGTCTGTGGTTCCAGTCAAGGCAGGCTTTTCCTAACCATCTGCAGAAAGGGTCTTCTCCCTCAGCTCTCATGTCAAATGTGGGCCGGAGGCATTGGCTTTTTAGGACTTCAACATCTGCCTGTTGGCGAGGATGTAGGGATAAGCTTTGGTCTTCCGTGTGGAGCACATCTGCTGAGGCTGGGCAGATCCCCTGCAGACCAGTTCTTGGTTCTCGTTCACACAGAACCACTATTACCATCTACAGGACCTGTGGTCTCCAGCCCTGCAGATGCAAGGCTCATGTGACTCCTCACACTGACCATTAGGTGGCGCTGTGGTAACACAACACACATTGATTTGGGGCTTTCTTCCCCCCCCTCACAATTTCAAAGTGTCAGTCCTTGGCCATTGGGTTCCATCATTGTGGACCTGTGGTTACAGGAAGACAGAACAAATCCACTCTGCATTTGTTAAAACAAGACAAAACAAAAACGTGAACCAGGTAACTTGCAGGGTTGGGTGGGGTTGGGAGAAATGAGGGAAGTGACATTGGTCAAGATGTTTGTACTCAGAAACTGACATGTTGAGTTGAAACCCTTTTGCACAACTAAAGATACAATGAATGAATAAAAATATATATTTGGAAGTGGTGCTGTGGCTCAAGTGGTAGAGCGGTAGCCTTGAGCTGAAGAGCTGAGGGACAGCGCCCAGGCCCAGAGTTCAAGCCCCACGACCAACCAAACAACAACAACACTCAGTATAGAGCTAGGGGAGTAGCATGCCCTGAGGCATGTCCAAGGGGCTGTCTGAAAGACGGCAGGCAGGGAGTCAGGCGAGACATATCAGACAGAGCCCCGTAGAAAAAGCAATCTGGGAACTACTGTGTATCAAATCAGCCAAGTACTACAGTAAATAAAAACAGATGAAAGATGACTGTGTCTCACAGGTATAGTCTTCTTCCAAGGCACAGACACCAAGCTTTTGACAGGCAAAGAGGTAAATTAGACAACTCACCAAAGTGGAAAGAAATGTTTAAATACATGGGGAAAATGTTCACCAAAGAAATGGAGTTTGAAGTCCTTACCTACCAAGTTGCTGGTATGGGGATCAGCTGATGATAGTGCTTCCAACCTGGCCTCCAACCCTGAGGCTTGGCGACCCTCCTGACTCAACCTCCCAAGTAGGCTGGAACCACAGAGAACAGAGAGCTCTATCAGCCAATGCCCTTTGCTCTGCTCTCTGTTTTTCAAACCTGAAGTCACTCCCCCCCCCCCCAACTCTCCCTTGGTTCCCTATCTCCCTAAATGGCATCCTT